ATTGTCAAAAGGAGTGCGATTTTTGAGTTTGTATCACTGCGAGCGAAGCGAGCCGCCAAAGTAGGGTACCCCTTACATTGTATATGGTGCATGTAAGGGCTACTATATGTAATGTATGTATACATGTATCATGTATATACTCTTATCTAGTAATATACAAAGACGCAGCTGATTTACTATCAATATTAGTATGATAAGGATAATATAATAAACTCAACAGTAACACATGCAGAGCCATGTCTATAGCAATGTAGATTAGCCAGCAAACACACATACCTGGTGAACGTAATCACAAAACAAAGCAGTTAACTGATGATATGACTTAAACTAAGGCGGGTTAAACCAACATATAGAATGAACATGGGATAATAGATTTACAAATTAAATCTAAAGAGAATTAAGAATCATGTCACTTATATCGCGATCTCGTTTGGTTATTACGATTTTGACGATTGGTTTGATCGCTGGACAATCTATTTTATATTGGATTAAAGAGAAACATGAAGCAGACGCTGCATACTGGAAATCTGTGAGAAAACGAATTAAGGAAGGTGGTTACTCAAACACAACTTGTCCATATAACCCTGCATCTTTAGGTAGGTCAGCATTCTGAAATATTATATAGCTGATACATATACAGGATGTTTTATATATACTGTAAGCTTAGCACGGACTGCTATCAAGTTATAGTTATTTTAGATTCAATGCACACAAGTGTGTACATTTCATTTTAAAAATGTTTATTTGTTTCGACTGAGCGTATACCCTGGTGAGGAAACAGTTTTCTGTAATAGTAAGAAACTGTTATGGAGATACATGTAGGTGAGAATGCGTTTATTTATCATTGTTATCCATTCAGAATAGCAACGTGATCCATTGATTGCTTCAACGTTATTTTAGCAAAAAATACTGATCGCTCGCATGTAGACGTTTTAGGTAACTGTTAATGAAATAACTGATATAGCCTCAGTCACATTAGCTATCTATTCTAGCAATACATATTTGTATTGGTATTGGCATTCGACCTTATTTGCAGCAGAAAAGTCGTCTTTCTTCGCTAGAATGATATACACAACCATATTAGGATTCATATTAGTATTCGTATTAGGATTCAAACAGAGTAAGCGAATCCTAATATGAGCTCATATTTGTATTGGTATTGATATTCGACCACATTTACTGTAGAAAAATCGCAGTTTTTCGCTATTGTGATATAGATAACCATATTAGGATTCGTATTAGGATTCGAACACAGTTGGTGAATCCCAATATGAACGCATAGTTGTATTGGTATTGACATTCGACCACATTTGCTATAGAAAAGTCGTGTTTCTTCGCTAGAATGATATAAACAACCATATTAGGATTCATATTAGTATTCGTATTAGGATTCAAACAGACCTGGCGAATCCTGATATGAGCTCATATTTTATTGGTATTGACATTCGACCACATTTGATGCAGAAAATCGTCATTCTTTGCAAGAAGGATATAAATAACCATATTAGGATTCATATTGGGATTGAAATTGGGATTCAAACATAGTTGGCGAATCCTAATATGAGCTCATATTTGTATTGGTATTGACATTCGACCACATTTTCTGTAGTCTTTCTTCGCCATTGTAATATACAGGGTGGGCCAAAAAAAATTGCAACTTTTTTAAAAGGCTAGAAAAGTATCATAACATGAAGGTATTGACATAAAAATTGATTTACAGAAAGTTTAGGATAGGCATATTTTACCATTCAAATATCTAAGCTAATCCTGGATTCTAATTTTTTGACAGTTCTCTGAATATCAATAGTAAAGTGTTCATGTGTCCGAGATTTACTGTTTTTCCAAGAAAATGTGACTTTTCATGATATTGTGTGAGCAACAATAACACATTCATTATGTTCACTAAATCTGCTACAATCTTTGATATTTGTTTAACCAATGGCTAGTACAGTTTTATATTAGAATCTACTTACTAAGGTATTATGTTATACTGTATCTATCAATTATATATTTAAAAATGTTCCATGCATCCGCCTTTCATCTTCACTATCACACTGACATGAGGGCGGAACTGCAATGGCGCCATTCAGCGATTCTTGCGGTAGTTTCCATTTCTCCAGCAGAACTTCTTTTAGTTGATCAATAGTTTGTGTGTGGATTACCATTTATTGCAATAAACTGCCCCAGGTGCCTCCATGTGTGATAGTCACAGGGGTTGGCATCTGGTGTATTGGGCAGCAATCCATCAGGACTAATAAATCTAGAGGTATCTTCCTCCAGATATATAAAGCAACCCTTGCCCGATGGCTGGGAGCGATAGTGAAGGTGGATGTAAGAACACATGATTAATAATAGTTTTATAGATACAGTATAATATAATACCATTGTGAGTAGATACTAATATAAAACTGTCCTAGATATTGAATAAACAGTTAACATTATGAATGTGTTATTGTTGATCACATAAAATCATAAAAAGTCACATTTTCTTGGAAAAACAGTAAATCATGGACACATGAACAATTTACCATTGATATTCAAAGAACTGTCAAAAAAATTAGAAGTCAGGATTAGCTTAGATATTTGAATGGTAAAATATGCCTATCCTAAACTTTCTGTAATTCAATTTTTATGTCAATACCTTCATGTTATGATACTTTTCTAGCCTTTTAAAAAAGTTGCAAAATGTTTTGGCCCACCCTGTAGATAACCATATTAGGATTCATATTAGTATTCGTTTTAGAATTCAAACAGACCTGGCGAATCCTAATATGAGCTCATATTTGTATTGGTATTGACATTCGACCACATTTGCTCTCTAGAATGATATAAATAACCATATTAGGATTCATATTAGTATTCGTATTAGGATTCAAACATAGTTGGTGAATCCTAATATGAGCTCATAATTGTATTGATATCGACATTCGACCACATTTGCTGTCAGTAGAAAAATCGTGTTTCTTCGGTATTGTGATATAGATAACCATATTAGGATTCATATTGGTATTCGTATTAGGATTCAAACATAGTTGGTGAATGCTAATATGAGCTTATATTTGTATTGGTATTGACATTCGAGTACATTTGATACACAAACATCAACATTCATTGTTATAATTATATACTTAACCATATTTTGATTCATATTAGGTTTCATATTTGTATTGGTATTGACATTCAAGCTCACTAGCTGCTGGTCATTTTGAATCCCAATTCCAATACCAATATGCATCCAACTTTACCCACTTTAATTACAGTGTGTTATTTATACAATTTTTTGTCGTTTTTCAAGTGCTGACATTATAAATTTTGCTGTAAGTTTTACACAATTTTTATTTGAAAGAAGATGTTTCAGTAAATCTTGATTATCATGAACCATAGGGGGTCTGATTATAGTTTTTCTCAAATTTTTGTAACAAGAGCATTCTATAAGAAAATGTTTCTCAGTTTCTATATGTCCACATTTACATACCTCACAGAGTCTTTGTTCAACAGCAAGGCCTTAATATCGACCAGTGTCTATGTTCAGGTGAAGAGTACCTGACCGAATTCTAGCAATAACATATCTTTGATTACTTGATAAAAATAATTTTATATAATCCTCTGTACCAAAATTCACGAGGGGAAAGAGTACCCGTGTATATACAACCTACCGCCGAGCAAAGACCCGAAGATGTCTGAAAATGTAGGGGGTGAGTTATAAACTTTTGTTTATATCTTGAATTTCTCAATATGAGAAACAGATAGAACACAGAATTGTGTGTAACTGATAAAGTTATTGTTCCAGGCACTCATGTTTGCAAAATAATGAGTACTTAGCGCAATGTTTACTATCCAATCGCTAAATTCAACTTTTAAATATTTGAATGATGATTTACATCTTGAATAAGTAACAACCATGGCTGTCTTTACTTCATTCGATTCAAAGATACAATAGGTGTAAATGTATCATATTTATTTCACTGCCATACGTTGCATATCATTGAAATCGCCGGTGAAAGTTGAAAATGAAAGACCCGATTATGTCACGAGTATGATTATATAGGACCCGAAGCTACCACCGAGCTATTCCGACTATACCGTGAGTAGAACCCGATGAGGTAGTGAGTAAGCTTTCGAATGAGCATATAATATCATGACGATATCACAAATATTCCTTTTTATTTATCATATACTCCTGGCACCGGGATATAATATAATATGATATAATTCCCGCAGCACTATACCATGTATACGTCAACGTCTGTTTCCGGCAAAGTTCTTTAAAACATTGAATTCATGCTTACACTTGAATCACCATAATTTCCTATGTATCTATGGTAAGAGTGCAACCCAAAAACATTTAATTCTGCATTGCAAGCGCCATTCTACTCAAAGAACACAACTTGAAGAATCCCAAGCTTCACAAGCTTCATATCCTCGAAACGAAAATTACCGTGATCTTTCTTTGATAATACAATACCATAGTCAAAAACATTGTAAATCCATTTTTTTGCCATTTAACTCAGGCACATTAACTTTAATACTCAGTAATGGATGGTGCTGACTGAAGTGGACCACAAAGTCATCCATCTCGTGTGATTTATAACAACAGTGGAAGCATTTGTACCGAGGACCTGAAAAACAATGTTTCGATGTGCAGTGGTAACTGGTGATAGCCATATTTTTTCAGTTTCATTTATTGTTCACAACAAAATGATTCACATGAATGATGCAGATTGTATGTTTATTATTTTCTCATCAGCACGTCATAAACTCGACGATATAATCGGATCTCAACAGATTTTACTCAAGTAATGTTCGGATTCTGAGATCCTTTACTCAAGATATTTTCGGATCTTTATAATGTTACTCGTCGATCACATCGGGTCCGATGTCCGATAAACTCGGATCTTTTAGGACAAAGTTTAAGTGAAGATTTTGCTGTTCAAAAGTGCTACTTTGACCTAATATTTTGACACTTAATATATTATGCATATGCACATCCATTTACCGACCCAAGTATGTCTTATGTATGGCTCATTATCAATTAAAGCGAGTATGAATGAGAAAAACAAATCGAAAACCATTATACGTTTACCTTATCTCTTAATTTGGACATAAAAATATATTTCAACTATAATTCTAGGCCAATTGCGCCTGCTAGAACATCTTAGTATCAACTCTAACCATCCAAAGGAATTGTTAGTGACATTATATTACCTTTATTGTCCATTTTCCTACGAGATGACATTATCAAACATTTGCTCGGCGGTATGTGCGTGTCTTGCTCGGCGGTAGGTTGTATATACACGGGTACTCTTTCCCCTCGTGAAAATTGTCTTTAATTAACTTATATGTACGTAACTTTGGCATTGTAGTTATTTGAACTGTCCATTTATGTATAAAGCGATTCATTTCAGAATCTTTTACAGTTTTTAATGTTGACCTTGCACTTGAATTATTAAAGAAACCAGCTTATGCCTAGGCCATGCCTGAGTCACATTTGCTCCGATTCATTGGCCGGTGCCCGGCCGATTGAGTATTTTGGTATGTCACCACCACAAAGTGGTGACATATTGTGGTGGTTTCCGTTTATTCGTGACAGCGGTTG